TTCACCCTTTGTGCCCTCCCCCCACCCCCCCTTTTCCCTGGTAACCACCGATGGGTTCTCCTTGTCTATATGTTAACTTCCACCTATAAGTGGGGTCATATAGAGTTCGTCTTTCTCTATCTGGCTTATTTCGCTTAACATAATACCCTCAAGATCCATCCATGTTGATGCGAATGGAACAATTTGGTCCTTTTTTATGGCTGAGTAGTATTCCACTGTGTATATATACCATATCTTCTTTATCCAGTCATCAGTTTCAGGGCATTTAGGTTGGTTCCACATCTTGGCTATTGTAAATAATGCTGCAATGAACATAGGGGTGCATGGGATTCTTGGGATTGCTGATTTCAGGTTCTTAGGATAGATACCCAGTAGTGGGATAGCTGGGTCATAGGGTATTTCTATTTTTAACTTTTTGAGAAATCTCCATACTGTTTTCCATAGTGGCTGCACTAGTTTGCATTCCCACCAACATTGTATGAGGGTTCCTTTTTCTCCACAACCTCTCCAACATTTGTCACTTTTGGTTTTGGATATTTTTGCCAATCTAACGGGTGTAAGGTGATATCTTAGTGTAGTTTTGATTTGCATTTCCCTGATGATTAGTGATGATGAACATCTTTTCATGTGTCTATTGGCCATACTTATATCTTCTTTGGAGAAATGTCTGTTCATGTCCTCTGCCCACTTTTTGATCAGGTTGTTTGTTTTTTTGTTGTTAAGCTGTGTGAGTTCTTTGTATATTATGGCGATTAATTCTTTGTCAGATAAGTTGCTTGTAAATATTTTTTCCCAATTAGTAGGCTGTTTTTTTTGTTTCAATCCTGTTTTCCCTTGCCTTGAAGAAACTCTTTAGTCTGATGAAGTCCCATTTGTTTATTCTTTCTATTGTTTCCCTCATCTGAGGAGTTATAGTGTCTGAAAAGATTCTTTTGAAACTGATGTCAAAGAGTGTACTGCCTATATTCTCTTCTGGAAGACTTATTGTTTCAGGCCTAATCTTTAGGTCTTTGATCCATTTTGAGTTTATTTTCAGCTTTAATTTTTTTTAAAGAAACTTTTATTTGACTCTACTTTCAACTATTGTCCCTTTTCTCATGTTGCTTTCAAAACCCAATTCGTTGAGCTATTAGGAATGATTCTCTGTCACTTCTTTTTCTTCTTTTTGAGGAATATTAGCCCTGAGCTAACTGCTGCCAATCCTCCTCTTTTTTCTGAAGAAGACTGGCCCTGAGCTAACATCCGTGCCCATCTCCCTCTACTTTATATGTGGGACGCCTACCACAGCATGGCGTGCCAAGCCATGCCACATCCGCACCTGGGATCTGAACCAGGGAAACCTGGGCTGCCGAAGCACAACGTGCGCACTTAACCGGTGCGCTACCGGGCCAGCCCTCTCTGTCACTTCTTAATCACCTATGATCAAGCATCTACCTCCACTCTTTCATTAAGTCCATTTTTCTCTAAGGTCCTCATTGACTCTTTCAAACAAATCTAAAGTTCATTTTTTTTCTTTGTCCTTATTCTTCTTGATCTCCCTTTTGCAAAGAACGAAGCTAACGCCTGTCTTACTGAACATCTCTTCTCCCTTCACTTACTTAACATCCGAGAAGCCTCTTGGTGCCTTCACGGCCCCACAGCAGGGCCTCTTCCATATTCCTGCTTCATAACTGGGCTACAACTTGGATCTCAGTTGTCACCCTTTTCTCTTCTCCATCCATCCTCCTTTTCTCAGGGAATTCATCTGTTCTCAAGAGATTATCCAGTGGGAGAAGCAAAGCAGATGGGGCTTGAAGCCTGGCTCTGTGGCTCATTAGCTGTGCAGCTTAGGAAAAGTGATTTCATCTCTCTGAACTCTACTTCCCCCACTCTAAAATGGGGAGTCATTCATTCAGTAGTCTTTATTGAGCACCTACTACGTACCAGGCACTGTTCTAGGTACATGAGATTCATTAGCAAACTAAACAGATAAATATTCCTGCCCTCACAGAGCTCCCATTCTAGCAAGGCGAGACAAACCAAAAATAACAAACATACTAAATAAAAGCATTATATAAAATGACAGAATATGGTGAGAGCAGTAGGAAAAAAAGAAAAAGAGGTCAGCTTACACCTTTTAGTAGATAGTCAAGGTAGGCTTCCCTGAGAAGTTAACATTTGAGCAAGGACTCAGAAGAGGTAAAGGAATTAGAAATGAGGGCCTCTGATGGAGAGGGTACAGACAGAGGGAACTGACAAAGGTCCTAAAGGCAGGGGCATGCCAGCTTCCAGTGGGAATGGAGAGAAGTAATCATGGGGAAGAGCAGCTGGAAATGAGGTCAGAGAGCAAATCAGAGGACTGGTCCGTGTCAGGCGTCTGAATGTGATGGGAGTTGTTGCACGGTTTTGAGCGGAGGGGTGACATGACCTCAGGTGTTTCAAAAGGATCACTTGGCCTGCTGTGTTGGGAGCAGACTGTAGTGGGAGCAGGATGAAAGAACAGAGACCAGTTAAGAGGCTGCTGCGGTCATCTAAGCAGGAGGTGATGGTGGCTAAGATGATGGTGAGCACTGGAGGGGAAGAGAAGTGGTCGATTTAGGATAATAAAACCTACCTTGGAGGGTTGTTATGAGAACAACAACTGTCGTAATCATAGGAGGTCATAATCCTATGAGAGAATTACGGTGGGTAAAGTGCCTAGTAGATGCCTGGTACAAGGAAGATGTTTAATAATACCCCCTTATTATGTTGTATTTTGCAGGTAGAATAGGTCGTCTGGGTCACCGTACGGAGGAGGTCAAAGCTAGAGTGTGATATCCAAGGTCAATGGACCTGGGGGGTTGGCAGCTGCCCTCACCTGAAGCAGTGAAAGGAGTCTGGATGGAGGAAGGGCCTTGATCTTCTTTTAGCCTTCACCTCATATCCTAACTCCAGGACAGTATTTCCAACTGCCTACATGACAATTTCTCTTAAAAGTTTCATCAGACACTCAATATCAATGAATATTTTTTAAAGAATTATCTGCCTCACCTCCACCTCAAGCCAGCTACCCATCCACATGTTTCCTTCCGTTAAAGATACACCAGTCCCCAAAGGCTGGAAAGGTGGCTTCATCTTTGTAGAATTACAGAAATAAAGCATGCTCTCGTTGGAAGCTGGTGTCGTAGCCATCATCTGCTTAAAATCTGTCTATTTATAAAAGAAGAAACAAGGCCAGAATGGAGCATGACTAGCTGTTGGCCACTCCAGGTTTTAATGACTGAGCAAGGCCTCGAACCAGTTTTCCAGATCCCATTCACTTCTTCAACAGCCACCCTGTCCTCGCCCATCCCACATCACAGCAGTCCCTTAGATTGGCTGCCAAAGGATCTGGTCACCACCATGGCTCCTAAGACCATCTTTGTCATTACTGTCAATTAAACCTTCCAGAAAGGCTTTGGAGCCTATGGCCTACACTGCTTTAAGGATGCTGGCTCCAGGTTCAAATTCTGGCTCTGCACTTACTAGCTGTGATGCCCTGAGTAAGTTTCCTAATCATGTTCTGCCTTAGCTTCTTCATGTAAAACATTCCTGCTTGCCAGGACTTAAGTAAAATAAGGCACGTAAAGCACTTAGCACAGAGCCAAGCACAAAACAAGACCTCAAGAAGCATTAATAATTATGGGTTGTATTACTACTCTCAGCCACTTTCTGAGAAGACTCCATGGATGCCAGGTGGACAAATTCTAATTGCCTTGGTCAGGCCTTCAAGGCCATGCAGCAACCAGGTCTATTATATGTCTAGAAACTGTCATTGCTCTCTGATCACAGACCTTCTAGTCTGGACAACTCTCGGTGCACTCCCATATTGTGCTCATCCCCAATCCCCACCTTTGCGTTTTAGTTTGTGGCCCTCCTGCCTGAAATACCCACCTTCCTTCTCTCTATCTGTCTACATCCTGGCATAGCCTTCAAAGCCCCACTGAAGGCTTGACATTTCACAAGAGCTTCCCAGGTAAATCCTAGCTCCACTGCCGTTATTTCTCTTCTCTACAGAGCTAGACCATTTACATGCAGTACATCCGATCACTTCTTTACGGAGAGGCGTGGGGGCACTTCACTAGTCGGACAAGTTCTAGAGCAGACTGCCTGGTCTCTCTCACAGCCTCAGTCTCCTCATCCATAAAATGGGGTAATATGAGGATTGTTGTGAGGTCCAGATGCACAAATACTTAGTAAAAGCAATTATTAACATATGTTATTATTATTATATATTGCCGTTTACTTTTCCCTCTTTGTTTTATGTACCTTCATCTTCTTCTTCCAGGTTATTCTGTCCATACGCACTATACTTTTGTCCAGTGTCTTAAATCATAGCTTATATGATGGAGCTCAGTCCTAAGAAATTTGACGTCCGTCCTCAAAGATTTCATCATATCTAATAATTCGTTCTAAAAGTACAGATTTACCCAAAATATCAACTCCCCATCTCAGAGCCCGTGAACGGTACAAAGTATAGGTAGCTCCTCCTCAAAGAGGAGGAAGATTGAAGAAAAACAGAGATTCTCAAAAAGTTAGAAACACTTGGTCTATATCTATAGGAAGTTAACACTGGAGGTGGGGCAGCTATTCTGGGATTAGAACAAACAAATCAGAAAGCACTGAGGGTAACTGGAATATTGCATTCATGCGTTCCTGAGGTACTGCTGTGTGCACAGCTACTGTTCTACTTTATTTTGTTCTCCATCCAAGGGCATCACCATTCATCAGAGCCGTGTTAGGCTGGAGCAGGATCAAGAGAGAATTCTCGACCAGACAGGGACCCATCAGGCTAACGCAGTGACAAGGACAGTTCCTAGTGATGCACTCTGTCACAGTGCAGTGACCATTGTGCTCTCTCTTTTCTTTCTTGGGGAAATCAGGTAAGTTTATCAAAAGTAGCAACACATTTTATAATGGGGTGGGGAGGAGTTGACCTTTTCGCAGTATTCATTCCAAAAATCAGGTAAGAAATCATTCAGGTTAAGAAAAGATCAGCTTACCTCTATTTTTTCCCATATGGCTTCGTAGTTGTCTTGGTGTTGAATATCTTGCATCAGTTTCTGAATTAAAGCAGATTTTGTAGCAGAATGGCTCTCATTTTTCTCAGAAGAGGAAGCTCTCTCTGACTTCTCATCGATGTATTTTTTCGTGCCAGAGAGAGGCATACACAACTCCTCGTCAGAAAGCACGTCACTCAGGGGCCCAGATTCAATGCTCTCCCCGAGTGAAGACGCTATGTCACTGGACGAGCTCGGAGACACCCTGCCTAGCCTCGAATGCTTCTTCTTGACCTGGTACGTGGGATAGATCTCAGAATCTGAATTCATTTCAGACAGTTCCCAGTCATCAATATTCTGAAGGGTTTCTCCTCTGGGTTTCTGAGGCATAAGCTTTGTTAAGTTTTCCAACTTTAAAGCTAATACTTCCGTCTGCTTAAGATGAGAGGGCAGTGCCAGGTATTCATCAGAGCCATACCAGGCCTCCACGACCTGACCATTCCGGGTGACATGACTTGGGGAGGAGGAGTAACTTTTTTTGCTTTTGTGATTTGAAAGAAGGGGTACCGGAGAACTGACGTTGTCTGAGCCAACAGAGGATTCACTGCTTTGAGTAAAAGGTGGTGAGTTGGATGTTTCTGACTGCACTGGCAATTTGGCATTCCAACTTCTCTGATGACACGGCTCAAGGGAGGATGAGGAAGTGGAATCTGTTTCTGGCCCCTCTCTGGCCTGGGAAGGACCTGCAGGAATTCCATTCGGCACTACTGAGCTCTTTATGTCTTCGGCTTGCTTGCCTGAACCGGTGCCGCGTTTAGGCGTTTGGCACGGAGGCACCTCTTCTGGGGTCTTGTGTGGCTTTTTCAGTCTAAGTTTCTCTTTATGGCAGTCGTTAAGCCTTCCCAGGCTGGAAGAGATTTCCTTAATGTGACTTTTGACTGTGTTTTCAAGGTTCCCATGCCCCATCTTGTGCAAACATTCGTAGGACTGGCTGGCAGCAGAAGGGCTGTTGGGGTAGGAGGACTGCAGCACCAGGCAGAGCTTGGATCTGTCTGGAGGGTCCACCAGGGAAGGGGTGCTTCTGCTCATCTCGGGCTTGAGATCAACCATCCTCTTCTTTCCATGAGGGTCTTTCAGATTATTCTTAAAGGTTTCCTCTTTAAGGAAAAGCCCTCTCTTGGGCAATGTGGGCTGTGTGGGAGAGTCCTCGTTATAATTAAAGCAATCTCTGATGGATCGCTTCGGGGTGGCATTGTCACAAGGAAGAGGCTGTTGGTTCTTTGCCCCAAGCTGAGAGGAGGAATTGGATTCTTGCTTCGCAGCCTCAGAAGAGGGCTGAATGGCATTTGTCAGAGCTTCCTGGGAAGGTGACGTCGCTGGCGGCAAGCCTGGCTGCTCCTCGACTGTGGAAGTATTGTCTTCCTCAAGTCCACCTTTGTCCTCTGCTGGAAGAGACACTTGAGCCGCCTCCCCACTAACTGCTTCGCTGCAGTTGGAAGGGACGGGGTCAGCAGCCACCGTCAGTAACCCAACACTTCGGATAAGCTCGGGGAACTCCTGTTCCATCTCACTGTAGCTCCAAGAGTCAAAGGGTTTGGTTTTGACCTGGCTAGAGGTCATGTCACCCAGGCCGCCGAGCAAATCTTCACTTGGACTGTAGTCAGACAGTTCGAAAGCAGTAATACCACAATCCAGAGACAAGTAATTTTGAGAGCATTTGATAGTTAACTGTCCTGAGTCATCCACTTCCGTCAGAGAATCAAGCCGACCCTGAAACAGACAATGGCAAGGGGTTCAGTAAACATAACATCAATTACACTCAACTGCTATTCAAATGAAATCTCAGCAGAGGCCACTATAACGGTCAAAAATGCTTCGGTCTCAATGGCATCTGGTTTGACATACAGAGAGGCGTATTAATCAATTATCGTATTGCTTTATATAGTCTCCTGTTCTTAAATATTTAAGGATCTTTCTTTGATCTGGTGGATAGAGCCTTGATAGAAATGGTCAAGGTCAAGCCAAAAATATCCATTCTTGCCTTAACTTTCTATGTTTTTATTTTTATTATTTTATTTTTTTAATTAATTTTTTTTTTTTGAGGAACATTAGCTGTGAGCTAACACCTGCTGCCAACCCTGCTCTTTTTGCTGGGGAAGACTGGCCCTGAGTTAACATCCATGCCCACCTTCCTCTATTCTATATATGGGACACCTGCCACAGCATGGTTTGACAAGTGGGTCCACACCTGGGATCCAAACTGGTGAACCCAAGGCTGCAGAAGCAGAACGTGGGAACTTAACCGCTGCACCATTGGGTCGGCCCCTTAACTTTCTATTTTAAAAATAGCATTAATAAGCATTTCTTAAGTGATGCCTTAAGTAATAAAATTTCTGGGAACAAAGTAATGTAAGAGTAAACTCTCCACAAATGTCTATTTTAGTTATCACTATCACTCCAACACCTACCACAGTGGCTAGTCACAGTAGATGCTTAATAAATATATTTAGTCAAATAATTAATTATACTAAGTCTGTCATGTTAAATACGTATTCACAAATCCAGGAAGGTGAACTACTGAATGTGCAAATACATGACAGAACAGTTCAAGACCAGCTTCTGTTTGTCCCCACCCTTTGAAGGTAAACACAGGTAATCTTGGAGAAAATTGAGTCAAACTTTCTCATCTTAGCCCCCAGGTCCTCCTCTGCACGCACCCCTCCCCCGCCATTAGTGTATCTTAGATACCAAGAGCCCCCTCCCTTATTTATCACTGGAGGCAGGCCAAATTGATTTGGAAGTCCCCTATGCTAAAAAATAGCATTACTAGTAAGTCTTTTTAATTTTTAATCTTTAATGACGTGATTAAGGTTATTGTCTCATTACTAATGCGGTTTCTGATATCACACAACAAATGGGGAGACTTTTGACTGATGACTTGTTTGGGAATCCTATTTTGCCTACCAGGCTGAAAGACAGCCTGGCCTCGCCCAGCCCCTTCGGAGATGAAGGTAGGAAATGGAAAAGGGAAGGGTCGTTGTATCCCCAGATCTCCATTCTCCTGGAGGAGGGACTGAGTGAGCAAACTGAAGCTGGACCTCACGTGGCTGCTGGGTCTTGTGTCCTTTCAACCAGGTTATCCCAAGATCAGGTCTCTCCAGGACCTTACATCGGGCTTTTTGTTCATTTGTTCGTTTTGTTTTTGTGATGTTCTCCCCTTCACTCCTTCACCTTGCCTGTATCTCCTACTCCCCTCATTCTCACTTCACAACATCCAGATAAGCGATTAGGATGAAAAGCCTCATTTAACTTTCTAAGCCCCAGGTTCCTCATCTATAAATGGGGTGGTTGGTTACTACTATTACTTTTTCATTTAATCCTCACAATAACTTTCTTCTGGGGTCTATGCCACTGTCCCTGTTTTACATAAGTGGAGCCTGAGTATAACTCGCACAAGGCCTTTCAGCTCAGGGCCGAGTTAGGCCTTGAACAGAGGCATCTGACCCAGAGTCTACGTTCGGACTTCCCCACCATCGTTTTCTCTGATTCATTGAATATTATTTTAAACTGACATCCCCTCTCCTCCCGTTTGTTCTCCACATTGCCACCAGAGCAACCTTACAAATTGCAAATCTGACGCTGCTGCTTCTCCGCTTAAAGTCCTTTACTAGCTTCCTGCTGCTTCTAGGTTAAAAACCCAAACCCCTCCAAGGACAGACATAAAGAGACCTCTTTCACGCCACTCTCCCTTCCTTGGCTGCACCCAGCCACAGTGTCCTCCTTTCAGCTTTTGAACACACTGTGTTCCTCCTGACTCAGGGCCTTTGCCCACGCTATTTCCTCTTCCTAGAAAGCTTCCTACCTACAACACTTCTTTGACAAGTTGACTCTTCTTCATCAGGCAGACATCAGACCAAGCGTCACTTCTTCCACATCCCCACTTACGTCAGATTCTTTTCTCATGAGCTCTCATAAAACTATGTTATTGTTCCTTTAAGCCTTTATCTCAACTTGTAAATAAACACTATTGTGATTATGTGATTAATTTGTTTCTCTCACCAGCTTGTAAGCACAAGGAGGGAATAAATCAATAGAAAGTGGCTGACTCACTAAGATGCCTGCAGCACTTAGCACAGTGATCTGCAGAGTAAGCATTCGGAGACGCAGCTGCTGAATAAATGAAGGAATGCATGCTGCATGGAGGACGACGTTTTAGAATGTATCTATGCCTTCATAATTTTTTCCTCTGATTATGTATTTTTAGTTGACTTCAGTGATTAAAAGCCCAAGCCTCAGAGACAAATTCTAGCTCTAGCACTAAGGAGCCATGTGACCATGAGCTGTAGCCTCAATTCCTTCATCTGTAAAAAGGAAATGATAAGTCATGTCATAGGGCTGTTGTAAGCCTTAAAAGAGAGGATACATGTAAGACACAAGTCTAGCACACAGACAGGTGCTCACCAACAGGTGTTCAGTCTTATTACTTATTACATTATTATTTTTACTAATCAAGTATATCGAAGGGGAAAGTTTCATCAAAATGAGAGGTATCTCTATGCTAAATTACATCACAAAACATGAGAAATCAATATTAACTGCCAACCTCAACAAAAAAGGTCTAAATGGAATTGCATGACTTTTGTGTTTCATGCCTGGACCACGATTTTTAAATAACAAAGTCAGTGGCCAAAAACACCAAGGAATTAGTCAGCCAAACAAAAGTCACACTTTATGCAATTTTTAAGAGAGTAATATGGAAATTACCAATTTAAAAGCAGGTTGTATTAAAAAAAATTTTTTTTAATTTGGTTGCTCCAGTACTCAGAACATACTCCTTTACCAAAACAGTATTATAAATGATGATTAAGTTTCAAAGTTATCCCATAAGTTGGTATTTAAATTACTAGCTCATTGAAATTTGCTTATTTTATATCATTTTTATCATAATGGCACAGCACTGCAGCTACTTAGGTGAGGTTAAAGAGGCACTAAGGAAAAGTATGTCCATGTTGGGTAGAGAAAAAGAAATTTGAGAGTTCAGGCAAAAATTAGACTCCTAAAAGTGTCAGCTGCTTCCTCTGGACCGGCAGGGAACTCCACGGCCCTGAGAATGCATTTGGTCCCATTTTGGCGGTCATACAACCTTAAGACCAGGAATACTGTCTTGCTCAAGAATAACAGGTGCTCAATAAATAATGTTGGATGAATATATGGCCTGAGACTACATCTCAGATAATAGAGTATGGCTGCCTTTGTCTAAGTCTTCAGGATCTCTAGCCAGTCCTTTATTTGGAAAAGACAATACCATACTCAAAGACATAATGCTCCAAAGGGAGCCCCCCAGTCCGGTTCCCAGACAGGCCAAGTGTCTCTGTGTATGGCTGATTGTTACTCAGGAATAATTATTTTTAATTTAGACTGCATTATTTAATGTGAAAAAACTCCCCCCATGAAAAACAAAACAAAACAAAACATAACACATAGTGCATCCATTTCATGTCCTAAAGACCAAGTGACAAGCATCTACCCATATATATTTTTTAACACAGTTGGTTATTATTTAAGAGTATTCTTCAAAAGTAGTTCTCTAGATTTCACCATGCAGAGGTAATTTTTTTTTTTTTTTTTTTGAGGAAGATTAGCCCTGAGCTAACATCCATGCCCATCTTCTTCTACTTTATATGTGGGACGTCTGCCACAGCATTACTTGATAAGCAGTGCATAGGTCTGCGCCCAGGATCCAAACCAGCAAACCCTGAGCGGCTGAAGCAGGGTGTGCGAACTTAAGGGCTACACCACTGGGCTGGCCGATTTGCAGAGGTAATTTTAAAAAAAGAAAGTTCTCTTAAGTTTCTCTTTATTGATAAGTAATTTAGTCACTTTGTTGCTGACTTCAATGCTGTCTTAGACATAAAGGAAACCTTTTTTATTTTTTCTCCTAATTTGAAACAAGAAATTTGGCTTTGATCTTCACCTATAATTAAGTTAACTGAAGCTCTAGCTCCCAATGCCTTCTTAGATCTTCCTGTTTTTGACACTACATTTTGCCACCACCTGAACATGAGATTTAATACTCAGCATTTCGAGATTTGAGGATCTTCTGTTAAAATGCCCCAAGGTTGTTCAGTGTCTGTTGCTACCTCAGGGTCACTTTGGTGCCCTGATATGGTATTCTTACTGAGGAGAGAGTTGGAAATAGAATTTCGCTGTTTTAATTATGGTATGATAAAAATTTTGTACGTCCCTCTCTCCCCACCTCCCCTAATCTCACTGCGTGGTATTTGTTATGCCTCAATCACTAATGAACACATTCATGGACCTCTTGCCAGAATGCCGTGGACCCCCAGAGTCCTCTGCCCACACACGCTAGACTCCTGCTCAGATTCCTTTCAGTTCTACCACATAGGATTCTACGCTTAGAAGGCATCCAAGAGAGCAGCAGAGGACTGGGAGGAGTACGCAACGACAGGGAAACGGGAAGCAAAGCGAAGTTTAGTTTCTGACGGGCATGGGGAAAACACACAAAAATCTTCCGTTATTTTCATTTATACTATAGTGTAAATACTATATACTATACTATACTATACTATATAAATATACTATGTAGTATATTTATACTATAAGTATACTACATAGTATATTTTACTATAGTATAAGAAAATTCTTAAGAATTTTCATTTTCTACTGAAATTGAGAGTCAAATACTTAATCTCCCTGATTAATCCTCTTCTACACCTAAAGTAGTGATTATCTGCATTATTCAACTCAAT